TGTTAATCTGGATTAGCACGCACAAAATGACATGGTACAACAGGCTCTATGAAGTTTAAAATTTCCCTATTTATCCCTAAATAGGAATTTTCCTACATTGCTCAAGTCAATGATTCTTTTATCTGGAATCAGAATTTGAGACGCCATTTTGGCTAAATATTAATCTCACTGCTTTTAGAGTACTCCAATTCCAAAGGAGTCAGGTTCCCTACTCTGGGATTTAACTAAATACTGGGTATTAACTGGGCCGCCTGGGTGGCTCAGTCGTTAAGCGTCTGCCTTTGGCTCAGGTCATGATCCCAGGGTCCTGGGATCCAGCCCCGCATCAGGCTCCCTGCTCAGCGGGAAGCCTGCTTCTCCCTCTCCCACTCCCCCTGCTTGTGTTCCCTCTCTCGCTGTGTCTCTCTCTGTCAAATAAATAAATAAAATCTTTAAAAAAAAAAAAACTAAATACTGGGTATTACTATGATTCAAATCTTCACTAGTATTAGCACGACAAGGCTGCATAGATTAAAATAGTTTTTAAGATCTCGATATGCGTAACTTTAATGTGAAGGAAATCTGTTTCTATCATCTACATGTTTAGTATTTAATACATTTTTCCTCTTAAGGCCAAATTTGATGGAGATAGGGGAGAGAATGTGGTATTACATTAATAGGTATCCAGAGTGTGATTTCTACAACAACGTCCTAAAAGGAAGGTGTATCTCCTTAGGATTCCCTGAGGTGGGACACAGGGACTCAAAGGGGCACTGTGGGATTTTTTTAAATTTCAAGGAAAACATAGCTACAACTGGCAGATATTACACTCATTTCCACTCAAGCTGTTTGGACCTACTTCATGCAATGGGCAGTTAGGTATTTCTTTTGAACTACAGGCACCATGGAAAAAAATACCAAAGACCCTGGGGCATTATGAACTAACGGAGTTTGTGACCCCTCTGTCTTAAGCATTTCTTTCAAACCAATGATGTGGTTTGGTTGGGAAACTGAAGTTATAGATTAACCCAGGGAATGATTCCAGGATCTGATAACTCATCTACCCTCCGTCTCAGCAGTATTTGAGAAACTGCATATCCGGCTAATAATATGTGTTCTATTTTAGAGAAGAAAAAAAAAAGAACATTTATTTTCTACCAACAAGAGCCCCCAGAGGATGTGTCCACAGAGGTCACCCTGAGACTATTCAGCCTGGAAGAAAAGCCATCTGGCCAAATATTTGATAGGAAGTGAAAGGCAACATGTTATTATGTCAGTGTGGATTCCCAATAAGACACAGACAAAAGAGAAGCACACATTACACGCTACGAGGATCTTAATATAGCTATGGAGACCAGGGAAAATAACAGAACTAGATCATTCCAACCCCCACTCAGGGTGTCAGAGTAAAGCTCTGGTATATTTAGAGTTTAAAGTTAGAATGCTAGCATTAACTCCTTTTGTTCTAGTCAAAACAGTCTTCAAACATGTGGAGCCCTGCTTAAAAAGAAATATGTTCTCCAACCCTGGAAATCCAGATTATGGTCTCTGCCTAAAGGAAGCAGGCTCCTTGAAGAAATGGCTGATTCCAGGTCTGGGATTATAAATAGACAAGATGAGCCTGGAGCATCCTGTCAACCAGACAGCAAGGAAGCCATGGTCTGTCAAGAGTGGGGGGCTGACCTGAAGAGGCTCCCAATGGCCAAAGACGGCACAACTTGAGCATCAATAAGGATATTAACTACAAGGTACTAGCTTTTTTAGAGAAAGCTTTTATTTTTTTCCCTTTGAAAGTCTCAAAAGGGTATGGAATAATAGGTTAAAGTTTTCTTTAGGCTTACTGATAAAATGTATCATGATAGTTTACTTTTCAACTGGACACCCTCAGCTCTTCTCCTAATAGGCCTCTCTTCATGAGTCCATTCGTTACATAGCAAACAAAAAAACCTTCACTGGTCACCACTAGAGCATGACAGACTAACTCACCATTTTGACAACTGATAAATAACAAAACTAAGTATATTTACCCAGGTCACATGCACCACTGGGTAAGCAAATTGCGTATGAGGGAAAGTTCCTCTTTATAGAAATAGTCCAGCTAATAAGTGAACAAGGAGTGATAGCATGTCATCATATTGCAACCCCTAATGAATCACTAAATCCAGGTGTTAGATATTAATGGTGCTGACATTCCAAAAAGGCAGAATCAGCCAGACATTATCTGCCTCTTGATGGAAGGACAAATGATCAATTATGAAGTAATATTGCAAAAAAAGGGGGATATTAATATGGGAAGCCTCCAGATCCAAGTGCTAATCTAGTGGAAATACAGAGGACTACATTACAGGCAAGCAATCAGACAAATCTAGTCTGTAGGACAAACTAGTTTCTTTAACAAAAAACTAAGAGAGTCTTAAAATACAGACTGACCCATAAAATAAACCACCCAAAAAACATTTATGAGACAACTGGAAACCTGAGCACTTACTGGGTATCTTATGATATTAAAGAATTATTTTGTTAGGTATAATAAGGACTCTTTAAAATATAAGCACAATACCATTATCTTTTTTTTAAAAAAAATCTTTAAAAATACTGTCAGAAGAGCTGAGACGCAGGTGGTGATCTAACCCTACATTTTGGAGCAGATTATCAACACAACCCAGTTATGAGAAATAATAAATCTCCCTTCCCCAGGAATATCCGTCTTTAAAAAACAAGCACACACATTGAGAAAAAGAAAGGTTCACTGGGAACTTTGAGAAAGTAGAAACATTAGCAGCAACTCAGTTTCCTGTCTTAAAAATGTCAAGTTGGTACAGCATGACCAAGAAGATAATGACCGGTAATCACGACCAAACAATTCCCCAGACCCTTTGTCAACACACACCAGGAAACCATCACAGTTGGCACCAGTCTGTGGTCCCAAATTCTAGTTATTTTAAACCACCTCCAAGGTGGAAGCTTTTCTGAACAAAGAGGTCTATTATTAGAAGAGCTGGGGATGTCCAGTTGAAAAGTATAACCATAAAATTTTATGTTATGTTAGCCTAAATACAACCTACCTGTGACTCCATGTCTAATTCTGAATCTTTCAAAGGGAGAAAATAAAAACTTTCTCAAAAAAGGAAGTTGGATGCATTTTAGGGACTTACTCATGGTTCTTAAAATCTCTCAGCACCCCAATTTCTACAAATTTCAAAATATCCTTGGATTTGAAGGTATCTCTATACAACATGTACCTTTTCAGCCCTTCCACCTTGCTTCTATTAAAAATACACACAACCCTTCAGAAAGCCCTGAAAAAACCACCACTGACAGTATTAACACAAACATGTGCAACATGGGCATTATCTTTCTGAGATACTCCGCAAGGTTCTGTAAGTCCCACACATCATGATATTTAGGATGACGTTCCGATGCATCTTGCTTGTTTAGCAACTTTATTGGTTCCTCAAACTCAAAAATCTCAAATTTTGTTTAGATTTTTCATTAGATCAGCAGGACAATAAATGTACTCTGGGATTTCTTCTTTAAGAAAAGGCAGAAAGAAACTTACAGGTAACTAAATACCCAGAAACTCAGAGAGAAGGAAAAAATTCTTTAAGCCAGTAATTTTATCAAAATTATGATCATTACAAACAGCTATTTCTTTAAAGAGACTACTGACCAAGAGGAATTCTTTAAAGGGTTGAGTAAAACATGTGTTTACTGTAATCAGGCCATAGGATTCTGCAGACCCCCCCTCCCCCAAAAGGGCCTCCTCAGCATCTGGTACGCTGGGTTTTGTGTATCTGATCATGGCAGAGCCTCTTCTTAAACCATTGCTCAAACACATGTGAGTCAACTCAACAAATGTTTGGTGAACACTAAGGAAAACTATTCACGTACAACATGCTTTCTCTCAGAAATTCCACATAGTTCTCAGTATATCAGCTGGTACCTATATATTTAATATAAGGTATAAAATTGTTTTATTCCCATTTTATACACAGGGAAGTCAAATCAGGACGGGTTAAATTATTTCAGTAAGGTCACAGAGTAAGTCACCACAATTTAAAAAACAAAACAAAATATAAAACTCTGTTCTGGTTTAGACTTACTATGCCCTTTGTATTTACCGTTCCATGTGTCCTGTCCATTTTGTCCCCTCCAATCCTATCCGTTACAATCCATCCCACACGTTCATGTCATCCATCACCAACCTTTGCATTAACCACTCCTTGAGCACCTACTTGTTCCAAGCACTGTGTCAGGCACTGTGCTGAACACGGTGCTGAATACAAAGACGAAGGAGACATGGAGAGGTTAAAACCTAGAGGACTTATACTCTTCCTATGAGCCAGGCAATTTAAGATAATTTACATAAAGGACAAATGATTTTGAGGACTCTTCCAGGAAGGACATGTTTTCCATAATCATATTACATAGGTTTAAAAATCTTAAGTATGAAAAACTAGGAGCAGAACAAGATTTAAAAACACAGCAACCTCCTGCATGGAGCACTGGGTGTTATGCACAAACAATGAATCATGGAACACTACATCTAAAACTAATGATGTGATGTATGGTGATTAACATAACAATAAAAAATTAAAAAAAGAAAAACCACAGCAACCTCTGCCATTCTCATTTCTCTAGCTCTACAATCACATTTCTAGGTTTCAATTCACGTTGTCAAGGGAGATAGCAGTCATACTAAGCAGAACTGATATCTAGAATTTTACGCCATGGTTTAAAATATGGGGAAGGTATATATATTATCCATCTGCAATATTTAAAAAAATTTTTAAAAATAAGCCAGAATTTATTTACATCTATTTAAATAAATGAGCTATCTAGATTTTAGTATCCTATAAGGAAAATACAACACATTTCATTCAACTATGAATCTTTTGATAATGAAGCAGCTCATAAGTCTGTTTCAACGATGGTAAAAACATGGCAAACACTAGAAACCTCTAGAAGCCGTCATATAGTAGATGCGTGGAGATTTCCACTTTAAATGACTCCACACCTACCGTAGTGTCATTGCTGGTAACGTAAACCAGGACATCAGAGGAGTTCCTGCCATTGATGTATCGGTAGCAGTTCCAGACACAGCTAATCAAGTAACCCTGTAAGTGAATAGTGATTATTAGGCCTTTCACTTCCAAACTTCAATTTTAAGCCCCCCCCCCCCCGCCACAGAGAAAACCTTATTACAGAACTTTTATTTACTAACTTGTAAGTGCACATAGTAACTCTACTAATTCAAGAAGTCTTTACAATTACAAATGTCGGGTATAGTAACTTTCTGGGAAAGGGTGCTGCTGTAGCTTATTCTATCACAACCCCCCCTCCCCGAAGGTAGGTGGTGGTGGAGGGGACAGGGGAGAGCAGGAGAATCTCTGAGAAAAGGTAGTTGGAAGGAGCAATCGCCACAAACATTTGCTGCCCTCAGTGTCACAGATCGACCCACGTATTAACCCATTTCTCATCACATTTTAACTCTCTGTCTTGGGGATTTTTATTCTACATGATTACATATGATTAAACAAATCATATTCAAGTTAATTTTTTCAAAAACATTCACAGCATATAAATTTGCTTCGTGGTCAATAAAAATCACTAAAACATCTCCATCTTCATAATGAAATATCCAAAAAGGTCATTACAATTAATGTCCAGAATAAAGCCATGGCAGGGATAAAGCAGGAGTTCGGGGGAGACGTGCAGACTGTGAGAAGCTTGCACTTCCACTCCGATCACCTGGGACTGGATTAGAAGTAGAGGACTACAAAATCCCTTTCCAGCTTTACAATGTTTTGATCAAAAAATGAAAAGATGTGGAGAAATTGGAACCCTCGTATGCTGCAGGTGGGAATGTGAAATGACGCAGCCGCTTTGAACAACAGTCTGGTGGTTCCTCAAAAGGTTAAGAGTGACCATATGACCCAGCAGTTCCACTCCTCGGTATATGCCCAAGAGAAATGAAAACATGTGTCCACACAAACTCTTGTACACGAATGTTCACAGCAGAGCCATTCCTAATAGCCAGAGAGCGGAAGCAACCCAAGTGCTCACCAACTGATGATTAGGCAGACAAAATGTGGTATAGTCATGCAGTGGAATATCATTCAGGCATAAAAAGGAAAGAAATCCTGATACATGCTACCACATGGATGAACCCTGAAAATATGCTAAGTCAAAGGAAGTCAGTCACAGGGGGCCACGTACTGTATAATTCTATTTATATGAAATGTCCCGAGCAGGCTAATCTATAGAGACAGAAAGTAGATTAGTAGTTGCCAGGGGTCAGGGATCTGGGGGTTATGAAGGTGAGGATGAATGGCAAGTGATAAAAATGTCCTAAAGTTACATTGTTTAACCACAGAGCTGGGTTCACACAACTCTGTTAATATACTAAAAACCACTGAATTGTACCCTTTAAGCGGGTGAATTTTATGATATGTGAATTATATCGCAACAAAGTTGTTTTATAACAAAGAAGACATCTAAGGACAAAAGGAGTGCTTGTCAACATTTCTTGGAAGACTGAGGTAAAATATTCCGTCATATACTCAGAATGCTGTCTTAAGCTGCATTTGTACTTGATGGTGATTATTTCTTACACTTAAATGTTCTGTGATGATGTGAAGATGAAAATGTATAATGCTACTTTATGAAATATTTCTGGACGGCAATAATCTGAAACCAGGTATCCACAATGAGAGAAAGAGAGATAGGAAGGGTGTATTTCTTAAACAATGCACACAATATTTTCATTTTATTCAAATCTTCAGTTTACTCAATAATGCCATCGTTTCTTTAGTGAGAAAACAAAAGCCTTAGACTTTTTGAGAATTCTAATACAAATGAAAAAGAATGTTTGGACATATTCATTATGTGTTCTGTAAGAAGACTATACTCATGCATTATTTTAGCAGTGAGCAGTAGCTACTCTTTGAGGCCGGGTGAGACCTCTGCAAGGACACGTCTACAACGTGAAGGTTAAACAGCAGAGGGGAAGCACCTGGGGGCGGGGGCTTTACAAGCCCAGGCAGCATTCTCGAGGGCCCCCGGCAGCACCCCAGCATTCGCTTACTGAACACTGCAAAGGGGGAAAAAAACCTCTGGCCTATTGTCTCTAAAAGCCCAATAACTTACTTCAATGACCTTATTTCTCTCTTAACATTTCTGTCATTCAATTTCAAGAGAATTAAATATTTAGTATGTTTCCCAAATAAATGTGCAGTGGCAAATCGTGTCCATCATCAATTTGCAGAGCGAGGGGTAAGCATTGCTCCCTTTGTGGTCTTGGGACAGACTGAAATGGACACATGTCCTGGTTTGGGCTCCTTGGGAACCCATGTGATGATAAACTTTATTAAACAGTGAATTTAGGTCGTGAGAGCCACTAATCAGGTAAACTGATATATGAAATCACAACATGTAGACTCATATTTATTTAAATGAATAATCACCGAGTCTCCACGTGCAAGGCATCAGCTTAATGCTAGGAGGATGATAAAACTGAAGGCACAGTCTACATTCTCAAGGAAATGCAGTCTAGTTAGTAAATAGATATGTAAGTAATGAAATACTAAGACAAGGACACATTTCCCACAGGCTGGAGATAGATCTGTATCGTGTCTTTCATTAGATCATTATGATAATTGTTTTGCAATTTATAAAAGCACCAAAGGGCAGAGACTGTTCTTATTCACAACTAAACCTAAGTAACCTAGAATAGGGCCTGGCACATGGGAGACCCTTAATGAATATTTACTGAAAAAAATGAATGGATGATACATCTTCCCATCCATTAGTACACTTAAACCTCACAGTCACCCACAGAATGTTTTCTTAACCATTATTGCTGGTTATTAAATGAAGAAACCAAAGCTCTTGCCACATAGACCGAAACAGCAGTGAGAGAAGCTAAATCTGACTCAACATCTCAAGGTAAAGCATTTCTAATACAAAAGAAAATGCCTACAAAGTTAAAATGCCTTCAAGAGCACTAGGAGGTTCTAGCTTCTGAGCTCCTGGTAATGGCAGAAAGTAGCTTGGTCAGACTAACCTTCCTATAGGTAAAAATGATAAAATCTGGAATAAGATACACACACGATTTGAAAGCATGGGGGAGGGACCAAAACAGGCAGAAATTAAAGAAGAGCCTGCCTTTGAAAGACAGATTCCCAGGAGTAGGGGTTTGAGAGTTTGCAACCTTTTGCCAGGTTAGGCAAGAGACAATATTCAGGGCTGATGGAGCAGCCAGAAAGTTGGGGTGGGAAGAGTGGAACTGTAGAGGCAGGGAGCCTCGACATCCGTGTATAAAATCTGCTCAAATCTCGAGCACTAAACAAGACATGCAATATCAACATATTCAGTTCAAACGACTCCCAATGGATTATTTTTTTCTTTTAGTGATTTTATTTATTTATTTGACAGAGACATAGCGAGAGAGGGAACACAAGCAGGGGGAGTGGGAGAGGGAGAAGCAGGCTTCCAACTGAGCAGGGAGCCCGATGCGGGGCTCGATCCCAGGACCCCCGCATCATGACCTGAGCCGAAGGCAGATGCTTAACGACTGAGTCACCCAGGCACCCGGATCATTTTCCCTTTACTCCTCTTCATCGTATTACTTGCTTGAAAAGACTATTCTCTCTAAATGCAGCTTCTTCAAGCTTATCGAGGCTTAATTGTTCAAAAATTGGGTAATTTTATGCCAAAATAAAGACAATGAAAGATGTTAAGAATTCAAAGTTCAAAGTCTAGTAATGATTTAGAACTTTTCTACTTCCTAGTAGCACACAAGCATGAAGTATAGTGATGTTTTTATCATCAGGTTTGCAAAGATGAAAAAGAAGAGGCAGCACTCAATTGTTGAGGGGGTGGCAAACGGTGCTCACGGAGTGTCAGTCACCTAATCTGGGGGGAGACCAATCTGACATCCTATCCAAAGCCCTCCAATTACGCATGCCCTCTAATTTTAGGAAATGCGTCTTGAAGAAACAAATACATAAGTACATGAAAGATGTAGTAAAAAAACGTTGTAGCACTATTAAGCGAAAAAGGAGAAGCTGTCTTAATGTCCAGCAATAAGTTATTTATTAAATATTAGTAAATTCATATACTAGATTGTTAGAGAACACGGTTCAGAATATATTAACATTTTAAAAACAAATTACAGAAGACCGTGCACACAGACACTGTATGCAGTATATAACTTACTACCCAGTGTATAACATTAGTGTATTCCCCTCCAAATGGATTTTGGAATAACCCTTGGTTGGCCTGTGAAAGTGTGGTACTGTTTCCCTCTCATACGGATAAGAGAAGAAACAGAAGTGTGAGGAAATCAAAAAGCAGTTCAGAAATCTAAAGCAAGGTAAAGAACTGACACAAGTTTGCTTACTTCCTTAGCATTCGTGAATACATTTAACAATATTTAGGCCGTAAGTAAAATCTGCATGCTTACCTTAAAGGTCAAGATAATGCTGATAAACAGAAGAATAATAAGGACCAAACAGGTAGGGTTCACGGACATGATATCATCTCTGTAGGGAAAATTAGGAGGCTGCAAATAAAAAGTGCCTCGTTAGCAAATTTCATTGATCATTCCAGACTAGATTCCTTAGGCATTAACCAGATGTGCTTATTACCAAGCAATTAGTTAAAGCAGATAGTTATTATTTAAGACCGCTACAAACTTTCTAGCCCACCTCTAATGAAAAAATGACAAATGGTGTGTGGAGAAAGGCCGGCGTGCTCATAATTCAGGCAATGACTCGTGAAAAGAAAAATCAGAGGAAGATTCGTGAGGCCTGAAAATGTAACTTTGCCCTCCTTATTGTACAAAAAGTTAGAAGTCAGTAGTTCTCTATCCACCTGTGATATTGAGATTCTCTGCAAATGGTGGACCACTCTAAAGGGCTTGCACAGGGCAAGGAGGAAAAACCTATTAAAATACTGTCTTATTTATACAGAGCATTTTTGCTGATGTTACTTCTCCTCAAGGAACAGAATCTTTTACACTAGTAGGTATTTATAGCATAAAAAAAAAAAAGATCAAGTCCTACCATCTGGCCATATTGATTAACTACCAGATCAAAGGAAACCTTTTTAAGGAGGATCACAACCGGTTCTTACAACTGGGACTGCCCTGGGACTGCCCGCACAGCACTTTGGAAGCCCTCCACCTCCCTGGCCTGGGGCAGGATGCATGGATGGAAGCCCTGGAGGCCACGTCCCCTTTATCTCTTCCTCATCATCCAATACCATGGGTTTGGATTCCACATTAGCAGTATTCTGAGACACAACAAAGAGGTTCCAAATGTTAAAGGAGAATATAAAGAAACTCTTCCCCATGGTGAACATCACCCAGTGGTTTTCAGTCTCCTTTCCACTTGGGGCAAAAAACCCAAGAAATAAAATCTGAATCATTCTTTGTGATCAGCTCACGAGACCGGTTCCTCCCCTTAGAGGCTGGAAGGGTTTGTATATGCTAATCTTATAGGTAAGAATAAAACAACTTGGTGTCAATTTGTAAGACCGACACGAAATCATACTGTTTATTAAAAAAAGGATTAAAGTGGAAGTATGTGACTCCTTCCACAAAGGTCTTCACATTCCTTCCCCCAGAAAAGTGAACACGGCTTCTACATCAAGGGCTATAAAACACAAGACCCCACATGAACAGAACAGGCATTCGAGTGAAGTGGGTGCCGTCCCTCCAGACTCCTGGACAGCAGCTTGTCAGCAGGGCCTCGCCATCTATGGAGCTTTACCGTTGTCCTTAGGCACCGTGATCATCCGTGGACCTCACCCCTTCAGCTCAGACTGATCTCTGAGTAGCACATACTGAAGACATTCACTTGGATGATTTGGTTTGTAATTACAAATAAAAGTAGATGGTGATTTTTTTTTTTTTTTTTTCCTGATACTATGCTTACTGTCGGCATCACCAACATTATCATTTTACCACTGGTGGCTCTACAGCAAATGAGAACAAAGTGACTGAGCAGTGTGGGGTATGGCAGAAAGTCGAGGTAGTATTCTGAGTGTTCTAAAGGCTGGCCTGCATGTTACATGCTTTCTGCTTCTTCTAAGTCTCTGCAATACACGCGATGGAGCAAACAACACAATCTTCAGGGGGTCACAGGGCTGCCACAGGGCTCGTCTTAGCGTCGCCTTACTCAGCACCACCCTTTCCTGGCCCCTCACGTGACGGACTACGGGGAGGTCATGTTTCCTCCACACTGCCAAGGTTGATTGGAGGAGCCCGGCACTGGGCCATCATTACAGAATAAAAAGACAAGCCCTTAAAGATAGAGGTAATTCTACAAACTGCTCATCACATCGAAACCCTCTCATGCAGAAACACTCAAGCTCTACCATGGGAGAGAATATATACGATTAGCACATGGGAAATACACATTTTTTCTCGACACTACAGGCTACCAAAACATGCTCCTGTTTTCTAAAGCAAAGAGAAGCTGTTACTAACAGCTTAAGAATGACAACCATAATGGGGACAACTGAACGCTTTTAAGGAGCAAAAAACCCTAGAGGCTTCTCGGTCTGCTTTTCTAGGTCTGCTGAGTACTGGATATGTGATTTGGGCATGCCAGCCATAAGATCACAAACTCCTGCTGCCACATTTCCTTCCCTCCCTCCCCCCACCCCTCCATCTCCCTCTTTTCCACTGAACTTCTTGGCCTCTGCTGTCACATCAAATCTCCAGCCTTGAATCTCCCGTCCCAGAAAAACCCTGCTCCTTCCCCAAGCTCAAACAATGCAAAACTCCAAAGAGTGAACATTCTCTCCCTTTAAAACATGCTAAGATTTTGAAGAAATTAAATGTTAAGGCACACTCACAATTTTAAAAACAAAGGTGAAAAATGTATTAACCCTCCACCAGCTTCTGAATATCCAGTTATCCACATTCGCTCAGATGGTCACAAAGAACATTTAACAGAAAACGAGTCCCAAAAAGATGCTTGACGAAGAAAGGGGTTCTATGGTCAAATAAGTTCGGGAACCAGTGTATAGTACATTTCCGTTTCTCCCGTACGAGAGCAGAGGCAAAAAAAATGATCCTTTGCTGATAACTGAGCAAACTACATTTAACAAAAATAAGAATTAGTAACTAGCTTATAATTTACATAGGTGAATCTAATACAGTCATCGCAACTCCCCATTTATCAACCTCAGGAGGTTATGTTGTCCCAAAAAGCATTCTAAGAAACCAAAAATCTTAAAGATGACACTCAAAAATCTCTAATCAGTAACTCTGATCCAAGTGGAAAAAGCCACAAATTCGTGTGTGTGTGTGCGTGTGTATGTCGAGACTAGATCCTGATGGGAACAGTGATGGGGAAGGCCACATACCAGCTGTCGTATGTATTCCTGAATGGAGTTTGGATAAACAAGCACAGTGACGGCAACCAAGGTGTTGAGGGCGAAATCAAAGATCTGGTAACAGAAGAACGGGATGATCCAGGCAGCGCGTTGCTAAATATGAGAGAAAACATGATGTTAATGTGTTCAGTATCATCTTACTTTTTTCCCAACTCAGACAAATGCTTTCTTCATCTGAAGGGAAGTGGAGGACAAGACATTCGATAAGCCAGGTCATGACAACTGGTAAACCACACAGAGGTGGTCAACCAACAAGCCTCCATGAGCATTCCTGAGACCACAGCACTGCCTTTCCACAGAACATTAATATGAGATTTAAACTTCCAAAGGCTCTTATAGGAACTGAGAATCATCACTTCTTCCTTCTCACAAGCAGCTGCCCAGGTTACAAGTGTAAGGGACCAAGGAGAAGGCCCAGCCCCCTATTTCAAAGCTGCTTACCTTATATGCTCCGTAAGTGGCCATGGCACATATCAGGATCATGAGAAGAGAAATTGCAATCGCAATGCACATGTCTGACAAAGGGTTAGGAAAGAAAGAAAATCAGTAGTAGATCCACTGTTTTCACAATTTTTGTCTCTCCTCAAAGGCATTCTGTTTATAAACCAATTATAAGTGAGAACTTTATATTAAGTAAAACACCCAGAGCTCTTCTGGAATTTGAGAAAATAACAGCCAATGGATATAAAATGTCCAAAAGAAGTTCTCCCTAAATCATATAAGTGTCTATAGATAACACACTGACTTGCACATAAGTTTATTTTGAAAATGGGAAAGAGATATTGGCTACAGATATTAAAAAAAGTTTGGTCTTCTGGTCCACTGAATTAGATATATAATAAATTAGGTAGTTTTGAAACATGAGTGTCTCACTTGTATTTTATAAACTCATGTGTTCCTTGTGCCCCTATTAAAACCTTCCACTGGGGTACCAGGGTAGCTCAGTTAAGTGTCTGCCTTCGGCTCAGGTCATGATCCCAGGGTCCTGGGATCAAGTCCCATGTCTGGCTCCCAGGTCTGCAGGTAGTCTCTTTCTCCCTCTCCCCTCCTCCCACTCATTCTCTCAGTCTTTCTGTCAAGTAAATAAATAAAATCTTTAAAAAAAAGTAAAAATAAAACCCTCCACTGGTTCCCATCTCATTTAAAATAAAATATCAATTTCTTATCATAGCCTTTACGTCTGTGTTTCTTCTAGAGCATGTCTACCTCTCCAATCTCATCTCACAACTCTCTCACTTCCTACAACCCAGCCACACCACTCGGTTCCCTAAGTACAACGAGAACATCCCATCATGGGGCCTTGCATTTGCAGTTCCCACTGACTAGAGGCAACATCACTCACATTTTCACATGAGTAGCTCTGCCTTTTTAATTTTTTTAAAGATTCTATTTATTTGAGGGGGAGAGAGAGTACACACACAAGTGGGTTGGGGGGGGAGGGGGCAGAGAGGGAGCCTGACCCGGGGCTCGATCCCAGGACCCTGAGATCATGACTGGAGCCAAGGCAAACGCTCAAGCTCAACCGACTGAGCCACCCAGGCGCCCCTAGCTCTGCCTTTTTAATCATTCAGGCCTCAGCTCAGACATCAGCAGCTCCAACAGCTCTTCCCTGAGTATTCTAGGTAAGGCAGGACTTCTAGTTCCTCCCACGTCAGTGTCCTATTTTCTTTACAGCACATATCACTACTATCTTACTTACATCTGCTGCGTATCATCTGTCTCCCCGTGCCAGAGGAAGCTTTCTGAGGGAAAGAACTCTCTATATCTTGTTTACTCCTACAACCCAACGTATAGAAGGGGACAGATGCCCCCCACTGTAGCCACTAACCACAGGGAGGCACTGAGCACTTGCAGTGGGCTCAATCTGAATTGAGATGTGCTGTAAGATTAAAACATACTCCAGATTCAAGGACCTGGTACACACACACAAAAATGTAAAATATCTCATTAATAATTTTTATGCTGATTACATGCTAAAATATTTTGGATATACTGAGCTAACTAAGGTAAATCTTGTGTCTACCTTTTTTAAATGTGGCTTCTAGGAAATTTTAAATTACACATGTGCTTGCACTCTATTTCTATTGAAAAGTTCTGGTCTAGAACAATGCCTATTTCACAGTAGGGACGAAATGAACATTTAATCAAGAGGTCATGTTACTCTATCTTTAGAGATTCAGATTAGTACATATGGCTGGGGTTCCAGTGTGGGGTGCTCATAGCTAAGAGAGCACAAAAACCCACACAGTAAAGGATCTGTACGATGCTGACAGCATCCGAGGCACTTCACAGACACCTCATTTAGCACTCCTGACTCTGAGACAGACCGTGTTCCCACTGAGCAGACTGCAAAACTCAGCTTGGAGGTTATGTGACTTGCTGAGACAGTACTTGCATCAAAAGGCTGAACTGTGACTAATCCTCGCTCTGGGGATTTCAGATCTCTGGCTCTTCCTGCTAAGACTCCGCAGCTTCTGCTTCAGCTTTGACTACTGACCGATGACCCAACCTGGCCTGTCACTTCCTACAGGTATTTCTCCAAAGGAAAACATTCCACTTCTAGAACCATCCTCTCTGTATCCTCAGCTTTAGAGATGAGAGGACATTTTAAGCAGGAAGGCTACATAAAACGCAGATATATCAAGAAAGACCATTTGCCATCTTAAGAAAAAAACAACACAAAGGCTCCTGAGATTAATCTACAGATTTAGTGCAATGAATTCATAATGATGCTGGTGACTATTATTAAAGGAGTGAAAATTTGATTCTCAAAAAAGAAAAAAAGATCACTTGGAGGGTGATTAGTACTAGTCAATACTTAAAAGATCATGATTTCTGGGGCATTTGGGTGGCTCAGAAGCATCTGCCTTTGGCTCAGGTCATGATCTCACGGTCCTGGGATCGAGGAGTCTGCTTCTCCCTCTCCCTCTGCCCCTTTCCCTCTCTCATGTTCTCTCTCTGGCTTGCTCTCTCTCTCTCTCAAGTAAATAAAATCTTTTTAAAAAAAGATCATGATTTCTTTCAGGATATATGCATATTTTGTTGTTTTAATCCCTTTCGGAGGGATAATTTTAATGCTACATTAATTTACCTTTTACTCCTTGTGAGGGAAAAGATACCTACAAGGAAAGTTCATGTATGCCTTATAGCATTCTTGCAGGATCAGTGTGGGGGGGATAAACTTGAATGCATTTTCCATGCAAAACAAAGGCCAAGAGACTGACCTAAAGCCTCTCTGTAGGGAGGCACATATGTAAATACACATGGATGCATGTGAAGCAATGAGGGTTATCAGGTTCTTCGTTCCTACAGAAAGCTATGACCACAGTGGGATGTCCATCGTCTGCTTTTATTTTCCCCATTTATACATGTGCTTTCTTTCCTCAGTGAACTGGGCACTGTGTTATTTCATTTAATCCTTATAACAACCCTAAGAGATAAGTACTATTATCATCCCCATTTTAGATACGAAAAAGATGATTCAGAGAAGGCAAGTAACTTGCCCAAGGCTGTCCAGCTAGTAAGTGGTGGATGGGATATTCATCCCAAGCAGTCTAACCCCCGAGTCAATACTCTCAGCCAGTATGCTACCCAGCTGGGAAGGAGGTAGATCACAGGCAGTAATGCAGGTCAAAGTGCGGGGAAAACCACACAGCCACCCTAAAAGGAGCTGGACATCAGTATGTACTTGCTATGAGCAAAACCTATTCAAACTTACAGTAATCTCTAAAACCTGCACTCAGGCAAAAGTTTATTATTTTCTTGTCTACTGAGATGGTTTCCAAATTCTGTACAAGCATATTTTATAATGAGAAAAAAATTAATTTAATGGAAGCCAGCCCATTTATAGGGTATTTTTTACTTCACAGATCTTAAAAGAGACAGATAGGTAGACAGACAAACTCAAAGCTGTATTCAAAAATTTTAACATAACCTATGAAAATTAGTATAACCTGTATATCCTATTCTGGAGTAAAAAGAAACTCCAGAACCAAATCTCACATAATCATAAACAATGTTTACATGTACATCTTTCTCAAAGAAGAGAAATTTATTTTTTAAAAGATTTTTATTTATTTATTTATTTGACAGAGAGAACACAAGCAAGGGGAGCTGCAGAAGGAGAGGGAGAAGCAGGACTTCTCAGCGGGGAGCCTGATGTGGGACTTGATCCCAGGACCCTGAGATCATGACCTGAGCCGAAGTCAGATGCTTAGCCGACTGAGCCACCCAGGTGCCCCATCAAAGAAGAGAAATTTAAAAGGCACAAATAAAAGTCATAAAATATCCTATTACCATTCATAATGACATACTACTTACCATTAAAAAAATGTTAATTTGAGATGAGGAAATTTTCAAAATTCTGTTCATACAAATGATTATACCAACCACACTGACCAGACTGAATATATGACAAGCATGTGAAATAGCTTAGGTAGAATCAAAGTGTAAACTGAATAAAAACACAGAGCAGATAAGATAAAGCAGGCTTCATAAGCCTTCTCTCCTAGCAAACAAGAGCACGTGTTGATTCTTCTGAAATAATGTGTAGTACACCACGGTGAGCATGAGTTACTCTGAGGGATTAAAATTTATTCCTGTTATTTATTTTTATTTTATTTATTTGTTAGGTAGGTTCCACACCAGCATGGAGCCCAACACGGGGCTTGAACTCACGACCCTGAAATCAAGACCTGAGCTGAGATCAAGAGCTGGACGTTTAACTGACTGAGCCACCCAGGAGCCCCTAAAATTCATTCCTTTCAATTTGTCATGGGTAAATGAGGAAATGATTCTAACAACAATGTACGGACTTCTACAATCAGTAATAGTACTACTGTTCAGTGACAGGGACATCACATCCTTTACTTATTCTTGGCACAGTAGCTCCCCATAGCAATCTAGTCCGAGCTCACTGTCCTCACACTGTTCCCTAAATTAAATTCCTTCTTTAATAATGCAGTTCTAATTTGAAAAGGATCCTAAGAAAAGCTATACCACAGGCCACAAAAGGCTAATTAGACAATGTTTTCTGATACTTAGTCAATTAATCAGTGAAACAGAATAGGCTATAAAGGAGTTCTCTGAAATGCCTCTCTTCTTCTTCTAATTGTCAATTACTAGTGAGACTGAGTATTTCTTCTTGATTAATCACCCAAATCCCTCATTTCTTTCTCCTGCTCATTTCCCCCTCCCCTTTTTCCTATTTGAGTTGGTTTCTATCTCTTGTAACTGAAAGTGTTCTGCCTAACACAATTTGCAGTAGTTCCTGAATATATTAAGAATATTACCGGGCGCCTGGGTGGCTCAGTCGGTTAAGCGACTGCCTTCGGCTCAGGTCATGATCCCAGGGTCCTGGGATCAAGTCCCACATCGGGCTCCCTGCTCTGCGGGGAGCCTGCTTCTCCTTCTCCCCCTCCCCCTGCGGGTGTTCCCTCTCTCGCTGTGTCTCTGTCAAATAAATAAATAAAATCTTTAAAAAAAAAAAAAAAAGAATATTACCTTTTTGTCTGTC